CAACACTAACCAGCAAGCTCCTACATATGCACAGACGACGCAATCTAATCTTACCCCGACGGCTGCTCCGTTCCAGCCATCATTCGTACCTGGCGAAGTCCCACCCAGGCACCGTAAAGCACAGTCAATGGGCCCCACCCCTGCCGGGGGAGCAACAGGCACTGGGAACTACAGTATGAACCAATATGCGCCATATCTCGATTCCATGAGCGAAGACGTCGAAACCTCGGCGAGCGAAACTCTTCCTCCCATGGCCCAGTTCTCCAATAGGCAGCCCATGGGTTCCTTCCAGGCTCCTCGCTTCTCGAGCATGTCTCAATCCGGTATGAACGAACAGGACTATGTCGGTCCTTCTGGTCGTCCTCAGCTTGCACCCAGTTTCTCGTTTGGCGCCAAACGCCGCACGAATAGCTTGTCCGTTGGACCCGGACCTGCTATCGGTGAAGAGGATGCAGGCTTCCAATTCCCGCAGCAGAATCAGCAACCTCAGCAACAGCAACAACAAGTCTACCATAGTAATGATAATCAAGGTCAAGGCATCAACTCTCATCGTCGCACTGGAAGCGAAATCAGTGGCATCATGTCCCAGCAAATTGCCATCCAAAATCAGATCGAGGCTCTTCAACAGCAGCAGCAGCAACTTTTGCAACAGCAGTTGGCCTCTAACCAGGTAGGTACTTTGCAAGACATTTGAACTGAGGGCTAATCCAATGAATGCTAGGTTATGGGATCTTCTATCTCTGCTCCATCGCTCGCTTCTCAACGTTTACCCGCTCATCGTCGTATCCAAAGCCAGCAAGTATCGCCAGGCGGAATGCAAAGCAACTATCAACCTCCTGCTCCCGTCAACACCTTTGGAACTGGAATGGGTCTCGACCAAGCAAGCATGCCTAAAGGTCATGGAAGGCGTCACTCCGTCAATGTACTCAATAAGGGCCATGCTACTCAGCCCTCTCAATTCTTCTCTTATAATGGTGTCGAAGGCTTTGACGATGGCTTCCAGCCTCCAGCCGATGCTCCTCCTGTTCCCACTCAACATAACCGTGGCGCATCCAAAGCGGACTCGAGCTGGCGTATCAGTGAGTAATCATACATTTTAACGAACTTGTTTCTTATCATTCGCCGTAGATGGAGGTGCAGGCGCTATTCAAGCTGCAAATGGTTATCAGGCGGACCTTGCTCAAGCCCAAGCTCAACTTCAAAGTCTTGCTCAGTTCCGTGCTGCATCGGGTGGTCACCACGCAAAAATGCCTTCTTTCAGCTTCCCGAATATGCTTCCCAATATGATGGCGGCTAATATGATGGGTCTTGGAGGACTCAACCTCCTTCAACAGCAACAACAGCAGTTCCAGGTATGAAAACTGATCACCACTCTAATATGCCAGTACTGAGACCTTTTATAGATGCAATTGCAGCAACAGAATCAACCCCAACGAAAGTCTCTCTTTGCTCCTTACCTTCCTCAGGCTTCTCTTCCCCCACTCCTTGCCGCTGGAAAACTTGTCGTTGGTATTCTTCGTGTCAATAAGCGCAACCGTTCCGATGCATACGTCGCTACAGAAGTTTTGGATGCTGACATCTATATCTGCGGCTCCAAGGATCGTAATCGTGCTCTCGAAGGTGATATTGTTGCCGTCGAACTCCTCAACGTTGATGAAGTCTGGGCAACCAAAAAGGAAAAGGAGGAGAAGAAGCGCAAGAAGGAAGAAAATGCTGCATACGATATCCGCGCTACCGCTGGACGTAAGAACGAGAAGAAGAAGGACGATGTCGAGGTCGAGGGACAAGGTCTCGGCTTATTCGAGGACGAAGAAGTGACCGACGAAATCAAGCCTCAGTTCGCAGGACATGTCGTTGCCGTCGTCGAGCGTATGCCTGGTCAATTGTTCTCTGGCACTCTAGGTCTTCTCCGTCCATCATCTGCTGCTACGAAGGAAAAGCAGGAAGCTGAACGTCGTGAACGCGAAGGCGACCGTGGCGATGAGGGTGCTAAGCGTGTGCCCACTGAACGCCCCAAGATCGTCTGGTTCAAGCCCACTGATAAGCGAGTCCCTCTCATCGCTATCCCCACCGAGCAAGCACCTCCCGACTTTGTCGAAAATGCCGAAGCGTATGCAGACCGCCTCTTCGTTGCGTGCATCAAGCGTCATGTAAGTATCCACCTCAATTTACATACACGAGTTAATAACTATATTCCTGTAGCCTATCAGCTCCTTGCACCCATTCGGGACGTTGGTCGAAGAGCTCGGCCCCATTGGAGACGTGGAAGTAGAGACCAGTGCCCTCCTCAAGGATTGCAACTTCCCCACCGAAGACTTTACCGATAATGTGC